CCTCTTTCTATTCCCATGATGTCCTCATCTATCATGGTATCTCCCTCCCTGCCCTCCCACTCTGTCCCTATTCCAGCTCGACTCTCCTATTTCCCTATATCCCTCACTCCTATATCCCTCCTATATCTCCTATATCCCTCACTCTTCGCCCTCCGCCACCCCCCCCCTGCCCCAGTCTACTCATGTAGATCTCATACACTTATACTTTGCTGGGTCATCCATGTGTCCCTCCTAGGGTCTTTCCCTGTAAGCTAGCCTCTCTGGAGCTTTGGGTTGCAGCAGCCATGACTTCTTGAAGGAATCATGTTTCTTTATTCTCCTCCATTCCCCAATGGAGAGTCCTCTTTCGGATCCTGAAGTTGTAGGGAGGATACATGTTAGTTTCTGTTGGGTTTACCTTTGCTTTGAGATTAAAGTTCCTCTGATCTCAGGTTTAAATTAATGTCCCCAGGATTTCCTGGAGCAAATATGGGCTTCTCTTTGCATCTCTGTTCCATGTTTGGCCCAGAAACTGGAGTCCAAATGTCTGAGGCACTGTTCACTGTCCTTACTGTAAGAGCTGCTTTGGAGACAGAAATTAATAAAAAAAAAATAGCATTAAGTATCACATTTTTGGATTTCCTCTTTTCTTTCTTCCTTCCATCCTTCCTTTGTTTCTTTGCATGTTTTCTTACTCTATGTAACCTAATTTGTTGTTGTAGTTTTTTTGAACATATCATTTCCCTAGGACTGTCAATCTCAGATAGCTCTCCTAATGTTTCTGCAAAGGTCACTTAATTTAAATATGTCTTAAATTTTAACTAAAGCGTCTATTAGGGATCCCAGTACAGTCCTGCTGGAGAGCTGTAAGCCAATACTTTTCAGTGATTTCTCATGTTCTTTGTGATGGTACATTTGCCTGTTGATTGACAGCAGCCACTCTCACACACACTGCCCAGGCATCTTTTTGCCTTTGTATTTGCTGACTGCTTTGCATGGGCCCCTCCTACCCCGTCCAGCTGCTCAGAACTTATAAACCTGGCTTTTACAGTGATAAATGAGCAGCATCATTCAGCAGGGGGAGCAAGATGGAGTTACAGACCCAGTTCCTCATGTCCTTGCTGCTCTGGGTGTCTGGTGAGAAGTTAAAAAGTAGTATAAACTTTCATAGTCACTTCTTTATATATAAGAAATTTGCAATGTTTGCTAGTGTGCAATATTTTTATACAATAATATTTGGACAATATGGCATTATAAGGACATTAAGTGACAAATTTCATCTGTATTGAATACTGTGGTGTTTTTTTTTATTATGCATGATCACTTGTTTTCCTGATTGCAGGTGCCTGTGCAGATATAGTGATGACCCAGTCTCCATCCTCCCTGGCTGTGTCTGCAGGAGAGAAGGTCACCATCAGCTGCAAGTCCAGTCAGAGTCTTTTAAACAATAACAAGAACGGTTTAGCCTGGTACCAGCAAAAATCAGGGCAGGCTCCTAAACTGCTGATTTACTTAGCATCCACTCGAGGTACTGGGGTCCCTGATCGCTTCACAGGCAGTGGGTCTGGAACAGATTTCACTCTCACCATCAGCAGTGTCCAGGCTGAAGACCTGGCTGATTACTACTGTCAGCAGCATTATAGTATCCCTCTCACAGTGTTTTAGCCTCCAGCAAAAACCTCCTCTGAGAGTCTCATCAGCTGCCCGCACCACACACAGCCCTGGACCTGCACACTTCCCCTTTCTGCCTGAGAGCTAGTGTGGATAAAACATTGATGGAGATAGTTTGCAGAGCCCAGATAAATATAATGAGTTCAATGACTCTTATGTCATTTGTATGAAAAACCTTTATGTGAAAATGCAAAAGAGAACTCAGTATTATTTTCCTACTCTTTCTGTAACCTATTACCCCAAACTCTGTGTCTTGAATATAA